GCGGTGGGAACTGGAACGAACGCAACTCCTCCTGGCCCCGGGCAATGCCGGGTATGTCGCCGATGGACTCTGCAATCCGTCTTCGCTCCTGTACCTGTATATGACCATGATGCATACGCAAATGGGTGGTGACCTCGCCTGTCACGCATGCAAACTGGCATTCCTTGCAAACAACAAATGGGTACTCGGGTATATGCACGAATGGCTCCATGGCTATCGGCGCCGTTGGAATCACCAATCTGGAAAATTCTTATCCTCTGCTCCCTTCTCTTTAATGTGACCGACCCTGTATTCGGATCCGGAAGACGTAGGGAGTGGATGTACGAGGTTAAGCCGTGTCGCAACCCCTTCTGGATGCTGTGCTTGTCGGCGAGATGCCGTGTCACGCATTCGCCGTTTGGCTGCAAGGCACAGCCGCACGGGCGGCAGATCACGGCGGGCTCGGGCGCATTGATGACCAGGCCTAGTTCCGCCAGACGGAGGTCGAGTTCCCGCTGAGGCCAACGACACCAGCGCGGCGGCAGGGACGACGCTGGATGATCACCCATCATACATCACAGACAGATGGAATAAAATAAGGAGAAAGAAACAGGTTAAGCTGCCGCGGCGGACGGTATATATCCTGACGTCTTGACCGGGGGGGCCGCGACCGAGGCACTGAGTAGTTACCCAGTTTCTTTCTGTTCTTTGCGGGGGGAAGACTGAGGCAGTCGGGGGCAGGAACGCGTCTCGACGATAGCTGAGCGCGCCGAGATATGGCCAACCAATGACAACGTCGAGAGAGCATGGACTGCATTGGGAGTACGTCGAGGACGAATCGGGCCGTAGCGCGTGGTAGCGTGTCGAGATTTGACCGGGGGCCAGGGGGGCGGACAGGGGTAAATTCGGGATGGAGGCAGCGAACTCGAAGAATTCCGTGTGGCCATCCTTGTGTAAGAGGTGCGCCTTCCAGTTGAGTTTCCAATCCAGCCAGACCCCTAGGAATCTGGCCGCTGCCATGGGCTTCACCGGGCTGGTGCCTCCTCCCGGCTGTGCAAGTTCCAGCTGGTCAGCCCACTGTTTGCGCCCTCTGTTGAAGTGAATCAGCTCGCTCTTTTCCGGGCCAAAGGACATCCCCCGGGTTTCTGCCCACTGCAGGCACGTTTTCGTTTCCCACGCTGCCTCCAGCTGTCGAACATTGGCCTCTGGCTCCCGGCCAAAGACTAGAAGGTTAGTGTCGTCTGCAAACTGTTGAACTGAGTGGGTTCCTTGGCACCAAGATTCACGGGCTGAGCACTGATGTTCAATCCGAGACTCTCAGTCAACACAGATCCATCGCAATGACGGTTGGTTGACGGACTTGGAGACTCTCGGTCAAGATGGGCTTATCATTATGAAGCAGTTCCTGACATAAACGTCATATCATGGCACACTGTCTCTATATAAGGGGGTAATTCCCCTGGGAGGATCAGAGAGGACGATTCTCTAAAAAAAAAAGAAAGGGACATTTTGAGGCACCCTAACCCACTATCTTGATCCTTCATTTGTGTGGTCACTCTGGAATCGTGACTCCAATTCAAGCTTCATTTCGTACCTCAATCTATTCAATACCACTTGGTTGATCTAAGCTTACTCGAGCATGTAACTGTTGGCTGCCCAACACGACCCGTTCGGGAGCACTCCTCTGAGCCTAGACTTGTAACCAGCACGCTGAGTACTAATATCCCAGGCACGTCTAACAGCCCGCCTTCAACTGCCGTCGACTCTAGCGACGGTTGCCCGTCGTATACACCTTCGAATCATCAAGCCAGTTGCCAAAGCCATCCCTATTTGTTCCGGTTCCTCTGCTAGTGGCATCGCGTGAGGCGCTCCTACGCCGGGCTTGGGGCCTTCAAAGGGTGCTGAAGGTTCAGCGGCTTCAGACGGACGCCGTGCAGGATGGTGCATGCTCTGTAGCGGGATGCACCTGCCGACAGCAACTCATAGCGTCATACCTTAAAGCAGCTGGGGTAATGGTGGCGACGCTGCTTTGTCCATTGCGGAGAGCGAGTGACGGGTTCGCCTTGCTGCCTGACGAAGGGAAGCCGTCATCGTTTGCAAGGAAAATAAGACTTGCGCAACTATGATGTAACCTCCATGGCCTCTTCCAGCATAGATTTACCCTGTGCTTCCCATCTAGAATAATGTTTGGATGCAAGCAAGCAGTTCTTTCTTTGCCACTCCCAGCATGGACGCCGCGTCGATAGGCGATATCATTATCAATTCCGAAGCGAGAGGTAGCAGCAAAGTACATACTTCCTCTTCATTTTGCGAGACGAACGACACAGAGTCGTTCAACAGGACCGGTAAACCCAGCGCGCCACCGACATATCGGGAGCATTAGCGACACGGTCTTCTGATCCTGATTCTCTGCAGCAAGGCCCGCGAGTGGAGCGACCAGTCAAAGAGCAGCATGCCTTTTCCACTCTGCTCTCCGCTTCGAGAGTGCGGCCCGAACGCGGCGCGCCCCGTCCCGCACCTGTTCAAGTCGCAGCCTCTGACCCTGGCCCCAGGGCGTGGAGATCGTCACGGAGGGCATCGATCCTTCATAAATGTTGGAACTTTGTTCGGTGGGTAATGCAGAAAGTTGTTCCCGAAGAAGATCAGATTTGGTCGTTTTCGATCATGTCAGCACGTCGTTTTGAAGAGACCCCGGATGGATCGATGTGCCGCGCCCCATAGTGGGGCTCCTGCGCCGCTGGGCCGCTGCAAGGGCCGGAAGGACCCGCTAAGCACGCGGAACGCCAAGAAGTCGGAATGAGAGACTTTTAGTCTTCAAAAAGAACAGGAAACACCAGGATTCAGTGTTCACTGAACCAACAAATCCAGCCCCTAGAAGCTTGTGTTCTGGGGTACGAGGGGTCGGAAAAGAGGGGGGTTTCGGGGTACGAAACAAGCGCCTCTTCGCCTCTGTTAGTGTCGTCCGTTTGGAGAAAAAGGTGAAGCTGGCTGTGCCCGAGGTCCGTTCAGGCTTATGCAGCAGGCGCGACATAACAGCCAATCGAGCTCTGCTACCAGGCGCCGCCCCGCCCATCAGCCCCTGGCGCACGGGCCCTACTTTGGTATTGAGACCCAGCGGAGACGGACGAGGTAGGGCCGTAAGGCGCCCGCGAGTGTGTACGATCGAAGACAGGCTGCCTCTTGACGAAGTTCGCCAATGACTGAATTATCTCAACGCATCCACATATTGTTCACCAGTGTCTCGTGTGCATGCAGCCCAACAGCTGCCATGGCTCTGACTCTAGCGTCTCAATCCTCTGGGGTGCCACTGTCGCCTGCAAAGCAGCTCAATGAGGCGGTTGATGATTTCCAGAGGATTCTGACAGAGGACCAACGGACGGTGCTCAAAAAGATAAAAGCCATCCCGGACGCCGATGCCGTGCTCGTGTTCACCGCACAGCTTGACTCAAGTCAACACAGGCGCGGCCGTAGCATCGCCACCCGGCTGCATTCCGTCCTTCAGTCTGTCCGGGATTTCTCTGCAGTCATCGACACATTCGTCTCATCAAACCCACAGATAGCCGCTCTGGTCTGGGGAAGCGTTAAACTTACGATACAGGTACGCTTGTAGGGAATCCACTGCCAAATGCAAGTTGCTGACTCCGACGAGATTGCACTCAGATTCACATCTTATTATGAAGCGTTTTCTAATCTCTTCATGGGTTTCGCGTCGCACTGTCCACGGTTTGCCGAGTACCAGGTCCTGTATGCGAACTCGGTCCGGCTTCAAACAGCCTTGTGCAGCTTCCACGCTTCTCTCATCCGATGCTGCAAGCATGCAGTTGAGGCTGCCCAACGACCTTGTTTGTCGCTCCGATGCTGTCTATGCAACAGTCTGCCATTGTTAACCGATCCTAGGGAAAACACAACTTTGGAACGCTCTCTGGCAATCATTTGAGCAGGAATTTAAGTCAGATATCTGCATGATTCAGAGGTGTGGTGATGAGGTAAAGGAAGAGATATTCCTTGCCAAGGCACAGGCCGATCTCCAGGACCAGGAGCTCCAGAGAAAGGAAAGAGAAGCCGCGTCTGGACACAGACGGAAGTTCAGAGACATAATGTCTCGGACGGGAAAAAGCCTTGATACCATCAAGGAATGGCAGCTGCAACAAGACAAGCGTCGGTCGGGTAAGTTTCTCCATTCCTTTCGTGACAGTTACGGCTAACAGCCCTCCAGGAGAACGAAAGCGCCAGCTGCTCGATTCATTATCTTCATATGACTATCTCCCGCCATTCAAGCGTGCTTGTAAAGAGCGCCACTGCAATACAGCACAGTGGATATTTGAGACGGCCGAGTTCCGTGGATGGAAGGACGGCATATCCCCTTGGATCTGGTGTTCGGGGAAAAGTGGGTTCTACCAAGACCCGTTTACATTGACCCTGCTAATACCCCGTAGTCGGATCTGGCAAGACGATTCTCCTGTAAGTACCTCATATGCTGGGTGAATTACAAAGCCACCATCGACTTACGCTAACGTCCCAACTTATAGTGCGAGTGCGGTCAGCCACGCCTTTGCGTACAAGAGCGGGACTAGTGAAGTTGTCACCTTCTTTTTCCCTCAATACAATGACCCACAGTCCTTATGCGCGGAAACCGTCATACGATCAATCATCAGGCAGTCGCTCGACCCAGTGACACTCTCTGAGGAAATGGAAGCCAGTTTGGTGGAAATGGATCAGAAACCATCCACCGGGGTCGGTGAATTGACGGTCCTTCTCCGACAAAAACTCGCCCATTCGGAAAAATTCTTCATCTTCATCGACGCCTTGGATGATTTTGAACCTAGAGAACGACGCGCCCTTCTTGACTTGCTCGCGTCCCTGGGCTCGAGTGAGACAGGCCTGAGGGTATTCCTCGCAGGGCGTGAGAGCCTGCGTGGGGAACTTGAAGACAAACTTCCCGGTATAGAGCGTCTGTCGACGGCATCAGCGGACGCAAAGTCCGATATTGCTCTCTATGTTAAAGAGGCACTTCAAGAAAGGATCGAGAACCGAGACCTCGTTGTTGGAGATCAGTCTCTCATCTTGGACGTAAAGCAAGCTTTAACCGAGCATGCAGACGGAATGTACGTTGACAGTACCTCCTCTCCGTATCTTTTACTAACGAGGAAGGTTTCTTTGGGTCGCTTTCTTGATCGACGAACTCTGTGCCCAACATTGTGACGACGACGTCCGCAACGCTCTCGGCTGTCTTCCGAGGACCCTAGCAGAGACATTCAGCCGAGCTCTTTTACGGATAGTCTCCCAACGAAATACTTCGGTCGCAGTGAAAACTTTTTCTTGGGTCGCCATCGCAAAACGACCACTAACACTGGATGAGCTCCGTGAGGCCATATCCATAGAGATTGGCCAACCGTACTCACTGCCTGAGCGACTCGTCAACGGCGTTGATCGACTTGCGTCGTGGTGTGAAAATCTAGTCCATGTTGATGAAGAACTGAAGACGGTGCATTTCGCTCACCAGGCCATTCACAAATACGTCATCGAGGGACCGACGGGGCCGCAATTGGGGAACTTCTGCTTCAGCCTACCAGACGCGGACCACCATGCTGGCGAGATATGCGTGACGTATCTCAATTTCAACGACTTCAAGACGACTCTGGCTCGACGACCACAACCAATGAAGCCGGTGGATCCAGTTGCAATGGCAAGATTAGCATTGTCACACCAGCTAAAGGTGCCAAGTTCTCTCCCAGCATTTGGCTTTCGCTCAAGGCGCAACAAAAGCAAAGAAGTGGATCTCGTTGGAGTTCTGTCTAGCTACGAAAGGGGGGACGTAAAGAAGGGCATAGGAATACTGGAGCAAGGTCACCCTTTCCTTAAGTACGCCTCGATACATTGGATTTCGCACACCAGCAGGTTTCGCACGAATACATCCACGACATGGGACTTGTGGCATCAAATGATCACTTGCGGGCAGCACGACTTGGCGAAGACACCCTGGCCGGAGCAGCAAGATTTCAACGCTCTAGACTCAGACCTACTGGCTTGGAGCTTACAATCACGCCACTACGCTCTCATACGTCTCATTCAGGGTTGTGGCGGGATATCCGAACGAGAAAAACGTCAGAATATGTGCAGTTTAGCAGCTCGAGGTGATATTGAATTACTCGATGTTCTTCTCGAAGGTAACTACTCGCTTCAAACCACAGGCGCGGCTCTCCAGGCAGCTTCACAGGGCGGGCATCTTGAGATTGTCGAGCGGCTTCTCGCCACGGGCAAGGTCGATGCCGACACGAAAGATAACTACAACCGGACGCCGCTGTCATGGGCCGCCGAGAACGGCCACGAGGCCGTCGTCAAGCTGCTGCTCGGTACAGGCAAGGTCGATGCCGACACGAAAGATAACTACGACCGGACGCCGCTGTCATGGGCCGCCGAGAACGGCCGCGAGGCCGTCGTCAAGCTGCTGTTCGGCACAGGCAAGGTCGATGCCGACACGAAAGATAACTACGGCCGGACACCGCTGTCATGGGCCGCCCGGAACGGCCACGAGGCCGTCGTCAAGCTACTGCTCGGCACAGGCAACGTCAATGCCGACGCGAAAGATAGTATCGACGGCCGGACGCCGCTGTCATGGGCCGCCCAGAACGGCCACGAGGCCGTCGTCAAGCTGCTGTTCGGCACAGGCAAGGTCGATGTCGACGCGAAAGATGGTATCGATGGCCAGACGCCGCTGTCATGGGCCGCCGGGAACGGCCACGAGGCCGTCGTCAAGCTACTGTTCGGCACAGGCAAGGTCGATGTCGACGCGAAAGATAGTATCGGGCGGACACCGCTGTCATGGGCCGCCGGGAACGGCCATGAGGCCGTCGTCAAGCTACTGCTCGGCACAGGCAAGGTCGATGCCGACGCGAAAGATAGTATCAGCGGCCGGACGCCACTGTCATGGGCCGCCCAGAACGGCCATGAGGCCGTAGTCAAGCTACTGCTCGGTACAGGCAAGGTCGATGCCGACGCGAAAGATGGTATCGACGGCCAGACGCCGCTCTCATGGGCCGCCGAGAACGGCCACGAGGCCGTCGTCAAGCTGCTGTTCGGCACAGGCAAGGTCGACGCCGACGCGAAAGATAACAACGGCCGGACGCCGCTGTTATGGGCCGCCGGGAACGGCCACGAGGCCGTCGTCAAGCTGCTGCTTGGCACAGGCAAGGTCGATGTCGACGCGAAAGATGACTACGGCCGGACGCCGCTGTCATCGGCCGCCGGGAACGGCTACGAGGCCGTCGTCAAGCTGCTCAGGTCTATGAAGTTGTGTGTTGAATTCTAGATTTTTCCCGTCCTAGCATGGCACAGGATGGGTATGGGGGACGGCGCGATTATATCGCTATTTTCTCCTCTAGAGCCTTCCAATGCCTTCCTGCGTTTTGCTAGCTCTTTAAGTTTGTCATGATCTCTCCACTGGCCTCACAGCTGACCATCGACGGCACACCGCACGTCTCAATCATTCCCGAAGCATCCACGCCGCAGGACAACCTCCGCTGTCTCCTGTCGCAGTCTCCGACCCCTGTCACAAGGGCTTGAAAATTGTCGCGGAGGTTATTGGCCCTTTGTAGATGTTGTGAGAGCTCCGTTCCTCTTCGTAATACAGAGAGTCTTCCCAAAAATATAGGTGGTTCTCGACCATGTCAACGGGTCGTTCCGATGAAGACCTCGGATCGGATCGACACGCCGCTCCCCACAATGGGCTCCTGAGCAGCTGCGCCGTTGCAAGGGCCGGAAAGACCCCACTCAGCACATGGGACGCCAAAAGTCGGAATGAGAAGACTTGGAGTCTGTTGAACTGAGTGGGTTCCTTGGCACCAAAATTCACGGACTGAGCACTGATGTTCAATGCGAGACTCTCAGCCAACACAGATCCATCACAATGACGCAGTTCCTGACATAAACGTCATATCATGGCACACTGTCTCTATATAAGGCGGTAATTCCCCTGGGAGGATCAGAGAGGACAATTTTTTCCAAAAAAAGAAAAAGGGACATTCTGAGGCACCCTAACCCACTATCTTGATCCTTCATTTGTGTGGTCACTCTGGAATCGTGACTCCAATTCACGCTTCATTTCATACCTCAATCTATTGAATACCACTTGGTTGGTCTAAGCTTACTCAAGCATGTAACTGTTGGCTGCCCAACAGGAGACGGCTAATAATAACTGATGCAGGATGCACCAGAGGGAAGACAAAATATGGGTGTGTTAAAGTGCTGAAAAGTTGCGATGCCAAAGTCGGTGTTGCGCAACCTGCATGCAAAGGTGAACTTACATGGCAGCGCTACGCGTGCACAAGCCTTATCCCACCTTATCTAATCTACATGATAGCTTCCGTAACAAGTGGATATCTCAGGTCTGACACTTTTATCTTACAGGGCGGCCTGGCGGCCGCCCGAAAAAAAAATTCAAGAGACTGCGCAGAGCCAGGTTACCCCTAAAAAGTCGAAAAAAGTAGGTAGGAGCAGAGGTCCAGTCTGATCA